GGGGGGGGGGGGGAAGGGATAATAAGAGGAGAAACCTCCTCTTCGTTTCCCCCCGATTGTTCATTCGGCTAGGGTAGTCTGAAAAAAAAATAATAAGACAGAAGAATAAAGCATCCTTTCCTTTTCTGTGACGATACTAAATAAAGGAGCAAAACAAAAAACAAGAATTTGCAGCTATTACATGCTTGACCTAGGTCGTTTGAACTCTATTTCACTTCATTTCCATGTACCTTTATGCGTGTTCACATCTACTTTTCTTAATATCCAACCGAAGGCCTTTTCTTTTTCTGTGGGGGAAACTGAGAGAAGAGTGGGACTACTCTCGTTTGGCGCCCAGTACATGAAAGAACACAATTTCATCATAAAAAGGTTCGTTTTGTGTGATCTTAATCTTGGACAATTTTATTAATTACAATTTGCATTCGACATAAAGGAGTGAATAAATATATCCGTATATATATATATATATATATATATCTAATATATTCATATATTGATCGTTTCCGTTCGCTCCAACGGAGCTCTTTCTCACTTAAAAAAAAAACTGCTTAATATCTAACACCTAGCTGAGAAAAAAAAATAGGGAGCACCGGGGAGTCCAAGCTGCCACATACACCCAAGAAGCTAAAATAGTAGAAGCGGGCTAAAAATTGACGGCGAGTGAGATGTCGACGGAGTTTTTCACGCGCGCGCTGGAGCTCGCGCACGGGCTCGACCCCAACGTCCCCCCCACCGAACGTCTGAACGCGGAACGCTATCTGATGGCGCTCGAGGCGAGCCCCGAAGGCCTCCAACTTGCCCTCCATATCCTCGATCACGAGCCGATCCAGGATCTCCGCTGCTTCTGGGCGTTTAACACGATCCTCTATCAGCTCCCGACGCTCACCCTGGCGGAGGAGCTCTACGCGGTGTTGTTTCGATTTGTTTACCGCTACACCCCCCCTGCCCCCCCGGCGGCAGGGAATTTTCTTCTCTTGAACAAACACGCGCAGGTGATGGCGGAGGGGGTGCGGTATTTCTACCCCGCCCGGTGGGGGGGATTTTTCGACGACCTCCTCGACCTCCTCGCGCGCGGCGCCGGGCACCCCACCTCGTCGGACGCGATCACCACTTATTTTCTACGCGTTTGCGAAGGGGTGGAGGAAGGGGTGGAGCGATCCCGCGAGGGGATCGGCCGAGGCTCCCCATCGCCCGCGCGGGAGATGACGGTGAAGAACGCGATGCGCGAGAGCGGCGTCGTGGGGCGGCTCGTCGAGGCGTGGTATCGCATCCTCACGGATCCGCACCCCCGCGCGCCGGCGATTTCGCGGCGTTGCTTGGAGGTGGTTCGCGCGTACGTGGAGTGGATCGACCTCGCCCTGGTGATGACGCCCGGTTGGATGGAATTGCTGGATTATTTGGTCACCCTCCCCGCGCTGCGCATCCCCGCCGCGGAGTGCGTGCTCGCCCTCGTCGAGAAGAAGCAGCTTCCCGGCGCGAAGATGCAAAGCCTGCGCGCGTTGAACGTCGTCGAGGCGATCCCGCGGCTCGCCGCCCGGCTCGCGATGCCCCCTGTCGATGAGGAGGAAAAGGGGTTTGTGGTGGTCGTCTGCCGCCTCGCGGCGGCCGTGGCGGAGCAGTTTCTGGGGTTGTGGGAAACCTGCTCCGCGATGGCCTCCAGCGGAGGCGGCAGGCGCGGCGGCGGCGGCGGACGAGGAGGCGAGGAACGCGGGCGAGGCTACGCGGCGGCAAACGAATCGCCGTCGTCGCCCGCCT